AATTCCCCAGCCAGCATGCTGCCTGGGGAATTCTGGGAGTTGAAGTCCACACATCTTAAAGATGCCAAGTTTGAAAAACACTGAATTATATAATTGCACTTTCTGGAATTGTCCAATTTGCTAATCATTTTGGTCAAGTTTTTTTCTGATGACAATGGAGAAAAAAAGGTGCAATTGATGTTCATTTTGCAGGTAAATGACCCAAGTGGTGAAAGACAGGGAGGGGGTTGAGAAGTTTTAAAATGATCGTGGTGGGATAACAGTCAGTCTCTTCCATAGAAGAAGCTGTTCCAAACTAGACAGAAATGTCATTTTCAGTATCTTGGCCATATAAACTATTTCTACTTAATCTGGTTTTAATCTAAGAATCCCAGTAGGATATAGACAAGGGGAGTGAATGGGGCCTTTTCCCCTTCAGGAAATGACTAAATGAGATTTCTAGTCTGGAAGAATATTACAGGCTACAGTTGTGTGGTGAAAGGTGGGTTCCAATCACCAGCTACTATATGCCAACTTGAGTATATAAATTACCTCCCTCACTGTAATGCTTTTTAAGACAACCTCTTTATATATTTCCCTCAAATGTCTAGAACTTGGTAAGGAAAAATCTAGTGGTAGGTGAGTCTGCATTTATGAATACACTCATCACTCTGAAAGCAAAGAGTACCAGTGTTTCAAGCTACAATAATTTCTGGTGCAATGACTTTTCATGCCAAAAGATAATCTTATCCATTTCAAAATGTGCTTACCAGTTTAAGCAAGTCAATTAATTTGTGAACATCTTCTCCTGTGGAAAGGTCTACAAAATCCTTGGGCAATCTGTAGCTCAGATACGGACTCGGCTGGACAGTGAGGTTGCTGTTTGTGCAACGGAATGATGGACAGTCCTAATGTTGAGGAGAGGAGCAAAATCAGGAAAGATTTAGTTAACATTTCCTTGTAATTTTTGTATTAATTAGTTAATTGATGCAGTCTGAAATACTCATTATTTATTATAACTTCTCTTAAACATATATTCATAGTAAACAGGTTCAAAATATCTAAGTACTTCCCTAGCCTGGGGAATAGAATATGGGGATTTTGTAAAACTTAGGTCAATATCAGGATTTTTTAGGAGACCGTTTGGACATGAGAATCACTCAAGGTGTTGACAGGTTCCATCAGCATAAGAGTAACTTCCTCCACACCCATTAATTGTTTGTTTGGCAAGTTGGGGAAAGGGATACCAGAAGCAAATGGACTGAGGATAAGGTCCTACACCTTCTACCCCAATGAAAATCTGCATTCCATATCTGCCCACATAAATGTTCATGTGAAATAGGATTGCAAAATACAGACACTTTAGATATATAATGGAAGACAACCCAATGAAATGAAAGAAGCAAATGCTATAAAAACAAAACATACACAGAGAAAATTCATGACCTAACCCAAGGATTAAATTGTTCTGCAAGGCGTTAAGTTATATCAGTGTGGGAAAACAGAAATCTTCTTCAGACCTATCTTGCTTTTCACTTCCTACTCTCCCACAATTTGTGACAGTGCAGGAGAGTCCCCACAGATCCTACTGTTCAACTGCAATAGCAGGAAAGAAAATCAAGGCCCAGTTTTTATTGGGCTTACTGAATTTTGATCTTTGGCTTTTTGCTGACATTCTGGTCAGCTTCTCTTCCAATGACATTTTAAAAGACAGACTGAGATTCTTCACTTTGATATGATGTCTTTTGTCACGTTCAATTTGCTCATGTACTTGCTCATGCACGTACACGATTAAATGACGCTTTTATTACTGAAGAAGCTCAGAACAACTTGTAAGAAGGGAAAAAAGCCTTGGCTAAAATCTGTATGGTCATCCCTAACTTGATGAATAAAATTGGAGCTATTGATAGGACAATCCCCAAGAAGTTAGGTTTATGTGGAAACATGGGAGAACTCATGGCTCAGTGGAGACTCACAATCCAAAATTCTTACTGGCCATAAGGTTCCCATCAACTTTGTAGTTAATGTTCATTTCCAACAAGACAAAATGGCAGCAATGGGCATTTTGACAAAGCAAAATATCAAGGCATATATTTGCTTAGTGAAATCAGGAAAGTTGGCTTAATTATATGTATGCCTGTATATAGGTTTATATTCTTTTTTTTTTAATCAATCTGTTCTGCTCTCTTACCTCTTCCATTGCCGCACCTTCACTCTGGTCCTCTTTCAAACTATTTCCAGACCTTATTTCTTCCCATGTAAACAGCAAAGAATCAGTTACTTCACCAAATGGATTAAAATCAATTAGCCACACTCTGCCCTGAAGAAGAATGATAAGAGACAAAGTATAACTCTGTTCAAATGGGACAACATAAAATAAAAATAAAAGACAACATAAAAGAAAATGTTTAAATGCAATATGGATGCAAATCTTTATTTCTAAATTCTAAGTTGTTAATTTGTGTTCTCAATCTACTTTTACACTTCTTTGATTAGAAGTACTCAAGTTCAACAATCCTTCTCTCAGATGGACTTTTTAAAAATCTTTGGAATGATACTACAAAATGCCAGAATTTTGTCATGATGAACTGCTACATTTCCATCTACAGAGGCGAGTGGAAGTCAAAGTTATGGCAGGATTAATGGCATTTAAAAACTTATTTGTAACCATGTGGCCTTTGTCTTCTTAGACAATCTTCTTAGTCAAATTTGGAGGTGGGCAAAGTGGAGCAGTTTCAAATGTGGAACAATTCTGGAATGTCAGACCAGCATCAGGATGCTTTTGGTAGAGGTACAGACTGATTTCTTCAATTCTAAACAGTGTTGCAAGGTCAAAATGTTTTGAACTGCTAATGAAATGTGTTGAAGCACACTACCATTGCTAAATCTGGTATGAACTCTAATGAGTGGAAATGCTGGACAGACAAAGCTTTTTTGAAGTCCCATCCTCTGTGATTTGCCCTATTCCTACATCAACTCTAAAATGAGAAAATGCCTTGAGTCATTGCCAAGAATTCCATGAAACCAAGATTAGCTCATCAATATTTAGCAATATGAGCCAGAAATATACATTACTCAGTAACAGCAGAATGAAAAGCTAAAGCTGTTTAACAGCAGATTTTCACTGTTATCATTCTCTAAACACCCATTAATGTATATAGAAAGTAGAAGTAGATGTTAGGGTTCTAATACATTTAAGCAATTAAAGTACATGTTCTGCCTGCTTTTAAGAAAACAATGTTGTTAATAGCTAGGCCATTCTGGAATAGTATATAGTATACATTACAGAATGTGTACAACTAATCACAAGGGATATCAAATAAGTACAAACTTAGCATTTTAACTTGTATTTGGCTAATGTTTCCTCTGAAGGCTCCATCAATATACTCTTGTACTTAGATCTGTTTTCATAAGAGTGTTTACTCTATTTTCAACTCTATTTTCAAAAGCCATTGACACAAATCATAACCATCACACCTCTGGGTAAATGATTTGACTGTCCAGCTGCAAGTTAGCTTCTTCTAATTAGAATCTGCCTTCTTGTAACTTCAATCCGGTATTCTGTGTCCTGCATGAGAGAACATCTCTATCCTTCAATCTCTCGTCATGTGATTTTTGAACCAGCTATGTATCCTTTTACCTGTCATGACAGTCAGCTGACTTAACTACTTTGCCAATCAGCATGTCATGTACCAAGGCATATGATGCTCACAGTATTCCCACAACCTACTAATGAAGTTATCTGATCTATAAATAAGGTAAATCTGTCAAGATCTGTTCTTGCCAAACCCATGCTGACTTCTGATAATTATGTTATTTTCAAGGTGTTTAAAAATTTACAATCTGTTCCAGAATCTTCCCAGGTATTGTCAAACTGATTGGTCTGTAGTTTGTTGGATATCCCCCCTTCCCCCAAAGACAACAATATCTGCTTATCGCCAATCATCTGGGACATCATCAGTTCTCCAGGATTTTTCAGAGATAATACACAAAGGTGAAATCTATCTCATGCCAGAAGTCCATCTTCTACATAACTCAAGTAATGGTCTTATAAGCCAAATCTCTCCCATCTACATCATCTTGCAGTATTCATCTTTGTTTTACTAGTCCTCTTCTATGGACAGGAACATCTGAGCCCTCAGGGTCTTTGCATCCTTCTGAGATTTTCCAAGTTTGGGTGTGATATGGTTGTAGCTGTTCTTTGCAGTTTGTCCCCAAACATCTCAGAAGGAAGGGATAATTATCAATGGATTTGATAAGTCTTAAACATTTTTTTGTCATATCCTTCACCCTTTTGGTCCTAACAACCCACTTCACTATCTGATGAATCCAGGTAGCATACTGTATGTTTGCTTCAACTCCTCATAGTAGAAGATCTCCAACTACCATGACTGCTTCTCTTTATTTTTGTATATGGCACTGTTGCATCCTCTCTGTCCTTTAGGGATCCACCATTCTGTCTCCATTCTCTTTTTTTTCCCCTGAATACTCAGAGCCCATAACATCTGCAAGACCTTGGGTTACATCAGTATAACATATCTTGTTACTCTTATTCACTGTCTTGTCCTCTGTGTATTGTCCTTATAGGCAGTTCTGTGGTAGTGTCTCCTTTCTTTAAACAGAAAAATCTACATCATCCATCATCAACTGAAGTGTGGCTACTTGCCATTCCCCTTCTTCGATTTTCTTTTCTTCAAGCACCACGGCAAGTTGCATTTGCTACAAATATATCCTAGGCTGTTTACAGATAGGAAGACAAACATGCCCTCAGTCGCTGCAGATCACAGTTGCAGCCTTGTGCCCATTAATCTTCATTTTTCCTGCAGAGAGGCTAGCTAGCTAGTTTGGCCATTATTAAATTACATTTGGAAAAGCAGGAAATGGTAGAAGGCTAGATCTCTTTCTCTCACTCATTCACAGAGACAAACTTAAAATTGTATTCCCATTTATCGGTGGTCTCTGGCCAGTAAGTTAAATGGTCTTCCTTCCCTTTCTTAATTTTAAAAGCACAAAGTACCTGCAATTTTCAGCTTTCTGTTCCTGCAGCTTCATGTGTAGCAATGTAATTGTCTTTAATCAGCACAAAGTTACTCTTGAGCAAATAAGCAGGATGCCAAGCACATCCCAGGCCTTCAGGTATGCCTCAGCTATTGCAACCCCACCCATCTGTGACACCTCTTTTGTCAATAATGCATTCTGGGAAATGTAGTACAGAGGAAGCTGGACTTACACAGAAAGGATAGTTCTCATTGTTGTCTTGCTCAGATAATGGGAGTGGTAGCCCATCACATATGGAAGGAACCAGGTTAGGAAAGACTATTTTATAGAGTTTTTATTTTTATAATAAATTGATACCATAATTTGTTCCTGTTTCATTATGATCAAACAGTTTGATCATAATGTTTATTTACAGTGTTTATTCTGTAAAAACGTAGGCAGGAATCCAGAAGAACATGTAGTTACTTCAATATTCTCAAAACCACTTAGGACTTTTCTGGGTTTCCATACCACATGGCTTGAAATTTCTAAAAGTGAGTGGAAAGCTGAAAGTCTGTTGAAGACCAAAAACAAAAAGGAAAACTTCTTACCTGGCACCTCCAAAATTCACAGGAGCTTCTCTAACACTGCTGTCAGCTCCAAGTATATTATTTACACTTATTTAAACAAAGGCCTTCAAAAACCATTAGGTTTTGGTGATAACCTTGCATAAAATCATAGTGCACTTGACTATTTTTATAGAGTGCAGGAATAAAACAAAACAAAGTAATAAAATAATACAAAATAAAATACTATCTTGCCATGGAGAAAGTAAAGACTCCCTTAAGTTAAGCTTGATTCCTGATAACTATCTGGATATGTCCACAGAGCAATATGTGTCAGCCCAACAAGGTAGACCAGACTAAGAAATCAATTCTGTATAGGTCAGAACTACTTCTATTGTAACAGAATCTTGCAAGTCTGAATGTGCTTCCCCCTCCTCACGTTATCTTCATGTGAACTAGGGAAGGACTTGTCTGAGACGTTTTCTCAAGTTATTTTATTGGCCTGGGCACAAGCCCTGCTTATCTAACCACTGCCTTAGTAGCAACTCTTCCTCCCGCCTTCAAGGCTGCTCCTTATGTCCTCTACAATATGGGGTTGTATTGCCTTCTTTAGGGATGCTTTTTTGACTACCTGATGTTTTTCTCCTCCACTTAATGACCAAATTCATCCCTATTTAGTGTTTTGAAGATCAGCCAAGGTTGGCTAGATTCTGCCAATCTCATGGAGAAAACCACAGCCCTAATTATATTCCTTCCCAATCATCAGCATGGGCATAGAACAGAAAGCTCACTTACCATACTGTCCCTGTAGACATCAAATACAACTAAAAAGGGGGGGAAAAGCAGAAAGTGAGAGAGGTGAGTATCTTGATGATGGTTAGCCAAGTAAATGCAAAAACTGAAAGCCTCTTCATTTTTTGTTTATTAACAGGCCTTCCAAAATATTCTACTATCCCTTTCATTCTTTAACAGTTCTTGAGCAAATGATCAGCAACAGAGTTCATGGACAAATGGTTCAGAGCACAAAAAACACATACTGCTTTCCACAGGGCATCAATCTCGATTCAAACTACCCAGAAACAAGTGACTGTTGCTATAAGATAAATCATTTCATGGAAATAAAATAAAATAAAATAATTACTTACAATCCTTACAGAATTGTAAAATTTGATGAAAACCATTAGCTTAGGCGCTTTGAAAAGTGCTACATTCACAAAATCTTTATTTATCTATGAGTATGATTAAATGAAACTAACCCAACACTGAAAATTAAGCATACATAAATGGGAATAAGCCTCAGTGAAGGCAACAAAATTAGCTCCAAATTATTACAAATAACTTAGCCCAGGATTTGGTTAAACTATACATGCTTTAATTCATTGCTTTTAACTGGACTTGAGCAATGGTTACATATCCCCATCCCCCATTTAATATTTTGATATCTTGTTCATTAAATGTATCAGCTACATAAGGCCTTCCTTGATTGTTGATAGGAAATTCCTCCTTACCCTTCCCCCAAGCATTTCCTCTCAAATATTCCCAGGAAATGGGACCTCACACTACTGCCATATTATTAATATGTCAAATATTTGAAGAATTCAACAGACTGAGTTCAGGCCATGTTCCATGAAGTCACAGCTCTCTGTAAGTTACTAACCAGGTTGATAGAGTAAGTTTTATTTGCTGATATACAGTATATATATGATATCTGTGTGGCTTGAAGGTCTCTTTGGCTTCTAAAGGGATTTAAGTTAATTATTGCTACTACCATACATTCCCCTGCCTCATATGCCCTGCCTTAATTTCAAAAATCAATTCCAGGAATCCAAGTTGGTTCCCCATCTGCTCTGTATGACTTGAAAACAGGAATAGAAATAAATTGCGGTGGGGGGTGGTACATCATAGTTAGTTAAGTTTGCAATTAGAACATCAAATGAATACAGCCAAACATTTATGTCAGGTTGTCTCAACCTGGTGTCTTCCAGATTTCAACCTTCATCCTTTTCTGGCCAGCAGGCCACCTACTTAGGAAAGACCAATGTACATCTTTAAAATTTCTAGGAAAAGTATTCATAGGGCTAAAGAAGCAAGCCATTGATATTTATATGGTGAGCCACAGCAAATATGCAGTATGTGTGAGATTCAGATTCAAAATTTGAAACAGAAAGTTTCCAAAGAGTTATTGATATTTTGCTGAGTTATACGATAACATAGGCATATTCTTGACCAAAGTTGAAGGGTGGAGGAAAAGCTGGGAGATGACATAATAATAGCGAATCCCTATTTTCTTTCTGACATTCTTTTTTTTTTTGGTCTCTCTCATTCTCTTTCTTCTTGTTATGCCCTCTTTCTTTTCCTCTTAAAGTGCAGGGAAGGGATGATTATTTTCTATCAGAGGCCAAGGGATGGATGGATGGATGGATGGATAACATTTTAAGAAAAAAATATGTAAACTGAAAATGAGTAAGAACAAAAAGAAAAGAATAAAAGGATCAAGTGAATTTAAGGTATTTTAAATTATCATAAATAATTTAATTACATTTATTTTAAATTGTAATTATCTTTAATTAAAATTTAATTAAATACTTAATTAAAATGTAATTAAACTTTAAGTTATTAATTTAAATTGCATTATTTTAAAGTAAAATTACTGTATCATAAAAATATTAATTGATATATTTGCTATCCTATCTTAATGGTGCAACTTATTCTGGTTCATTTTAATAAGAAGAAATTCTGGGTGTAAAATTACCTTTCACTAATCAAAAATGAGCAGTTTTTCCAAATCAGGTGCAAGACCATATAATGCTGTGGCCACAGATCACTACACCTGGTGTGGGACATGTTTGCATGACCTCCTGGTCTTGTGCTACATACAGATAGGTTTCTTACCTGGGGATTTGGTGTCATTCAAACATACCAAGAACTGATCTGGTTATATTGGAGTTTATCCCCCCAAAAATCTGTGATGGTGCAATCAGGGTTGGACCCACTGTAGATAGGGTGGGGAAAAGCTTCAGCTCTTCCCACTGCTGATTCAAAAGGGGCAAAGATGATCAGCTCCCACTGTGATGATTTCAGCTTCCATCTTCAGCTATGTAAGTGGCTGCAGGTGAGCTTCAAAGATACTTCCAACTAAATGAACTAAATATGTGGTTCTACTTCCATATGTGCTCCTGGTATTGCAAGACTTCAATACCGTTTTCAGCAGAAAACATCCAACAAAATCAGAAGGACAAGTGGATAAAATGACCAAGTATATTACTTGAAAGAGAACCTTGTAATTATTAGAAAATAGCTGTATCTTATTAAAATTAAAAGGATACTTACAATCTTCATCCAAAAATTTATACTGGATGTGTTTCTTGAAAAACTCCTGTATACATCTACAGATCTCTTCTTTCTGTTTAGAGATATGTTCATAGTACTGAGTGTAGTCTCGTTGAGATATACCTGGTTGAAAAATTATATTGATCATTCACAGCTACTGCAAGATTTCCTTGGAATTAAAGCCTAGTAGTAGAATAAGAGTCCAAATGATACTTGCTGCACTGGTTTTGTTGCTAAATAAAAGAAAGAACCTGCTTAGCTCTTATTCATTCCCATTATTTGCATCCAGAAAGGCCCTGAACGTCTCTCTTACAAAACTGTAACAAATGCCGTTTGAGACTACTGCTAAGGCAAACCACACATTGTGCTAAACAGAGTCAAAAGCAAAACGGACAAATTATGGATTAGCATGACAGGCACATCTAGGTAGAATATAGAATAGAATATTTGAGATCACCGCCACACTATTTGAAATCTTGCATAACTAACAATATTTTGAGACACGTACATACATTCTAGAAATTAGCAGTTCCAGCATGCAAGCTCTACTGATATTTCATATCAGAGCTCTCTTAAAAGGATCCAGGAATGTTAGGAAAATTAAATTTCTTTCTACTCAATTGATCGCAACCTACATGATGTTATAAAATGATATTCTTGTTTATCAGAACTACAAGTAAGGTTTTGGGTTTTTTTATATAGTATCCCACACTTACTCCAAAGCATTCAGTGTGGCATTTGATCTGAAAAGGAACCTCGTGTTGGTAAAGGCAAAAGGAATGGGAAAACGTCTACCCAAACAGCATCTTATCCAAATGCCCTCCAGTAAAGTAGGCTTAGACCACTGCCTACGTCAGCTGCTTCCCCACACCCCCCTGTTCTGTCCAATTATGTCCACAGTTCATCTCTATCTCTTCTGAGGACGTAGAGATGGTCTGGGGTGGCCACCAACTCCCAGCTCTTCAGAGCACCAAGAACTGACATAGATATGGTGGAGAGACATAGCAGCTGCATTCCTCAACCCTTGAAACAAACTTCTTGATAGGAAGAGACCCAGTTGGCACTCACATGCCAGAGCAGCCACAAAGGATTCCTGAAAACTACAACAAATAATGCCATAAGCAATCTTGCAAGCTCCAGATTTCAAAGCTGCGTTACTGACTGCCATGAGCTGAGAGGAGGCAAGCTGTAGCTTAAAAAAAAGATGTAGGAAGGGACAAACATTAGGTCCTCAGATCATGTATAAATATTAAAACCCAATGAAACCACAGGATGGTATTTCATGTTATTAGCTTTGTAAGCTATTTGGACCATTATGGGAAAAACTGGACAAAAATAAAATTATTACGACTGATTAACAGGAACAGTGACAAAAAAAATCATAGCCAGAACAGTACGCAGCCTTACATGTGAAGTACATGAGAATTACGATGAAAATATCTAAAAAAGCTTTAGACATAGCAGAGGATAAATGAGCTTTTATTAATAAACTCACCAATAAGTTTGTTTTCCTTCACAAAGCACCTGAACTCTGCCCCAGGAATCAATTCACACCATTTTCGGAGGACAAGCTAATGGAAGGAAAAATAATATCTGATCAACTGACAGAAAAAAAATCACTTTCAACGTAAGTGATAATTAAGAAATTGCAAAATGCTGCTGAAAACAAGAAGAGCCTCTGTTAAGAACCTAAGACTGACCTTGTGGTCTGAAAGGAGCCATGATGAGATCACCCATGTGATGAAGTCACCATGCAAATGATATGAATTGTGGAATGCATTTATCTTCAATTTATTTATTTTACTAGACTTATATGCTGCTCCAATTGAGTAGTGACTCTGAGAGGTTTACAATCCTATTATATATAAGCAAGATTAAAACAGTGAAGATAACAAAACCAGTACCAACAAACCATAAACAAACAAACAAACCTGGGGGTGGCTGGGGCCTTGATGACACTCCCTGAGTTTTACATCCATTCTTGGATTTTATTTCTTTTCTATTTATTTAGGATCTTTTTACACTGTATTTTTAATTGTCTTTAACTGCTTTGTAAGCTGTCCAGAGTCATTTTTAATGAGATGGGTGGTGACAAATTTGATATATAAATAAAATAAATAAATAATAACCTAATCAAGTCAAGGAACAATAGTAACTAATTAAAACAATCGTACAACAAGAGGGAATTAGATCAATTTGTCTCCATCTTGGAAGGCCTGTTTGAAATGCCCAGGTTTTATCATTTGTCTAAATCCCAATAGGGTGGGGCTAACCAAATCTTTGGGGAAATTCCAGAAAGGTGGCACTAGTGCATGATATGCGTGATACCATTTGCACCCCCTTCCCCCCATAGATGCCCATGCTTGTGAAAGTAGGAAATTGTAGTAAAAACAGATTATTATTTAGGAGATCACTTATTTGTGAGCAGAACCATTCCTGTTAAGGACTCCAGAGACAAATGCTTTAAGTCCAAAAGAACGAACAATGTTGGTAAAGGAAATTACATGCTTTGATAGAGAGCCTGTATTTCTGAACCTTGAAGTGGGAGGAATGAAAAGATGAATCCAAATTCACTATGCTTCCTGTAGGAGGTTAGCTGAATGAGAGAACATATGAGTATCCATCTTCCAGTTGGAAGGAGAGACAAACAGAGGACTCAAAAGAGAATCCCCTACTTGCTGTCTCTACTCCAAATGACTCCTACTTGGAGGGCTGTGATGGGGAAGATGGTGTGGAACTAGTCTCCCTAGCTGGTATTGGTAGGACAAGAACCAATGGGTGGAAGCTTTAAAGAGAAAGCTCAAACTCAAAATAAGGAGGAATTTCCTGACCAGGAAAGTTATGAAGCAGTAGAACAGCCTGCCACCTGGAGTCATGGGGGCTCCATTGCTGCAGTTTTTCACAAAAAGGTTGGACAGACATTTGTCTGGGATGATTTGAAGATTCCTGTCCTGCTGGGGGGGCGGTGGGGGGGCTGGACTAGAAGATCCACAAGGACCCTTTCAAGTCTATGATTCTAATACAATGTTTCTCAACTTTGGCAGCTTGAAGATGTGTGGACTTTAACTCCCAGAATTCTGGGGGTTCAAGTCCACACATCTTCAAGCTGCCAAGGTTGAGAAACACTGTTCAGACACCTCCAGTGGTCAGTAGGATAAATGGTCCAAAGAGCCAAGCCTTCAGAAGTGGAAAGAGAGGGAGCAAAGTGCAGAGGCAGCAAGAACAGCAGTATGGTGGGGGAATTTTTCAAACTTCTAATTTTACCCAACATTCAGTTTTCCACATTAGTCATCCAGAAAGTCCTGCTGCCTGATCCACTTCCCTGCAACCCAATGTTCCCAACTGCTAAAGATCAATCTCAGGTTGGTTTTGTCTCAGATATCTTCCCTCTGCTTGCTCCAAGTGAAATAAAACCAAAGATGTTTGCTAAGCCTTTTGCATTTAACTAGTGAAGCAAGAGAACTGAACAGATTTGTGTACATTTAATTTAATTCTGTCCTGTGGAACTTTGTGTGGAAGGAAAGCTTTTGTGCTGTATTCAAAATGCTGTTTAGGAAAAGTAGCTTTCACTTACTTCATAACTCAAACAAGGGTCAGGGGAATCATCGTTGCAATGGATAAACCTATAGAGGAAGAAACACACATGATAGATTTGCATATTTGTCTTTAACTGCAAGAAGTATGAACAATCCATTACTACATGTTCTTCGGTGACATAGTCACTGCTTGCTAACAGTGTTAAACAAGCAACTAAATCAAGAGTCAGAAAAGGATTGCTATCTCTTCACCTTGCTATAACTACACGGGGCATTTTTTAAATTTAATTTTACGTTTTAGTGCCTTTGAGTCAGTTTTTGATTCCTGGTGACTGCCTGGACAAGTCTCTGCAGTTTTCTTGGCAAGGATTTTCAGAAGTGGTTTGCCATTGCCTCCTTCCTAGGGCAGAAGTCCTAGTGACTGGTCCAAGGTCTCCTTTAATGCTCAGGGATAAATGCCAAGCATCATGCAAGAATATGGTTCCTCTCTTGGTACTTCCCTTGGATCAGCCAGGGCTTGGAACAAAGATATCAAGACTCAGCTGAACTCTACAACTCATTGTGGAAATTTCCTGTTGAGAAGCATATCTTCTACTGATTCTTCCTCTACTCCCCAGAAAGTCACCCCCCTTGCATGCTCCTGTTGCTTCCTGTCATCCATTCATGGGGATATTCTGAAGCTCATGGGGTAGAATGCATATATGCTCACTCCCTGCACCCATAGCAAAAAGGTCAGCAGGTGATTAAAAACAACATAGAGCTAAATTGGGGGAGGAAATCTAGTGTCTGCCTGATAGTTTGGGCTTCAACTTTCACCAGTTAGGATAATGAGAAGTGACAGTCAGCGTTCCCCCCAAATATTTGGGGGGCACCAGGCTATCAAATGTTGGACTGGATGAACAGTCTGCTTTCTTGAGGTGGCTTCTTTAATCTTCACAGACAGGAAACAGACATATACCAAGCTGGACAACTTGTCCTTCTCCCTCAATAGTGTTGACACTGTTGACAGACAAGTCCCTCAAACAGAAGTCTTCCTGGGAGTAGAGACTGGGAACTGTATTATAATCAAAATTCTTAATAAAAATTATATATAGAGAGAGAGACTGGGAACTGTGACCCAGCCAGTGTGCTTTGGATTCAAAAGCAAAAAGGTGCTTTGGAGCATGCAAGGCCATGCACACAGCATCTTCAACATCTTTTGCTGGGGTTGCCCTGCAGCTGCAGGGTAGCTATACAACTCCAGGAAAAGCTGTTGGCCTTAAGAGGTGGCCCCAAGTGCTCTGTGAATCCTCCTTTACCACTTAGCTCCAGCTACTTTCCATGGTTCCAGCCAATCTTAAAGGATATAACTTAGCCTGGGTCATGATAAAGGAATCATTCTTCTCATGGGCAACCTGAAAATCCTGTAGTATGGACCTCTCACCACTACTGATTTGCCTATGCAGATACTATTTCTATCAGACATATGCCAGCAAGTATCCTACATCTTGCAAAAGCAACTCACATCACTTTATTGATTTATTTGCTAACAGTTATAGTCCACCAAGCTGCAGAGACACTACAGAATATTCCACTGGGAGGGGCATCAAAACATAAATACTGGTAGTCCCTGAGTTAAGAATGTTTGGGTTAAAGATGACCCATGGAATTTTGCTTAATGTAGCAAAATTCGAGTTAAGTACAGAACGGTTTGAGTTCATTATGCAATACTACTTGTACAGTATTATACAATAATATTGTTCCGGCTTACATACAAACTTGACTTAAGGACAGACCTTGGGATCAGAACTCATTCTTAAACTGGGGACTACCTGTATAGAAAGGAGGAGGAAAGGCACACATAAGAGCAGGAGGTGATCCATGTTGCAGATCCTAATCTCCAAATGCTCTTTGTAGCAGGTCTTTGTAGCTCTGCTGGGGGGGGGGGTCATATGGATTTCATGGGGTAGAATATTCCAAAGGGGTGGGGCAACTATCACAAAGGCCTGTTTTTTTCTTGGTTCAGTCCCCCTTGATCTGCTAAGGAGGCAGGAAGGCAGAGGCAAAGTCCATCCCTTTGTGGACCAAGTAAAATCCATATTTCTCGGTGTCTAATTAGGCAATGTTAAATAGAAAACTTTGCCATTTTACACTGTATTGTAGGAGTATAATCACCCTCAGTTTTCCATTTCCATCATATTTCATTGGAGTTGTTAAATTATTGAATTTTTACGACACAGCTGCACAGAGCCCGTGGGGCTTTCCTTCTCTTTTTAATCTAAACCTATTTGAGTAACTGAATAAATAATGAAGCCAATTTTCACCTGTTCAGCACTTTCCTTCCGTATGCCAATTACATTTGTAATTTTCTCTTCCTGGGGTTATTAGCACTTAATCAATACTGAAATTAATGGATGGTTTAGTGGATCAAGTTATCTGTTTATTTCAGACTCTTACTAGATACATTCATGTGAATCTGGAATGATCTTTAAACAAAAGAAAGAAGTACTACGATTCTGCACAGAAATTAAAATGTAATCTGGATGCCTAAAAACAATCTCTACAGAGGTCCGTTACTGGTACATCACTGAGATGTAGAAATCAATGAAAAAGCAGGTAATGCGTTTCTAAAGGAACCTAGAGCTGTGCTGATTTTCCTCATCTAAAGATCCGGAGAACTTACAGCAATTTCTGCACGGCTCAGAAGAACATACTGGTTGTTCTTTACATAGGTCAATTAATCTCCCATTGTCAAACTTCCCATTCACAGATAGCTTAACCTTCCCCTCTCTTACAATATGACCAATGTAATCTTGAGTTTTGCCATCAGAAATGATGTCATGCTTTCCAGTTTTTCTAAATAGCATGTCTTCTTACTTTTCTTCAGGTAGCTTTATTCCATTCATGTTCCTATTTTGGAGTAGAGCTTTTACAAGTAAATTCTCCTTTCCAGCAATCGTGGTGCCATAGAGTACCTACTTAATTATTTTTAGGCTTCTGTTTCATATGCAATTCTGTTAATCAATCTGATAATCCCATGGTCAGGTGAGGATCAAGTATCAATACAGGGATATAATGATTTGCAGCCACCCAGCTGAACTCCAAGTATGTCATACTTAACACTAAAATGACCATGATGGATCAGGCCAACCTAGTTAGATGTAATAATTGAATGATATCTTCAAAAATAGAATGTCAGACTTATGTAAGACGGGAAGATTTGCGCCTTTTTGTTATACTTACTCCAACAGGTATCTGGTCCAACCTACTGTAAACCTACTGTAAGGTAGGGTTTAATCAACCTTATTTCTTTGAAATTAGGGTTCAACTCTACATGAGGTTGAACTCCCTCACCTGAGCAAATTCAGCAGACAGGGGAGAGAAGAGCAAACGCCCTCATGAACTAGTCCCTGAATATAGAACAGGAAACAGAGTGAAGGACAATTTTCAGATTGGAAAATGTGGACCCCAAGGAGTAAGTGCTTCTTAATTTGTTTATAAATGATCTGTATTTAGGGATGAGCAGGGAGATAAACAAGTCTGCTGACAATACCAAACAGCTCAGGGTAGCAGTGAGGCTTCGATGCCACAAGCTGCAGCTGCCATCTTGATTTGGTTAAACTCCTCTCACAAGTTGCAATGGGATAAATAGGCAAATAATCTAACGGGCAAAAACTGATAACAACCAATTCAGTTTGAACCTGTTCTAAGAAACAAACTGTTTTTTCAGTGCTGGCAGCAATTATAAGAGAATAAAAGCAAGCAAGCAATGCAGTGGGACTCTTCCTAATCTTCCTGTTCAAGGGGCAGATCCAATACGATGATACTTACGGTTGAGTGAAATCGCGAGTAATGAAGTCCGAACTCTTGAAAAGTAGGAAAATATCACTGAGGCTGTTGCATTTCAGCGTACTGTTCATAGCTATCCAGTAGGCATCCTAAGGAAGACAGTTTTATTTCAGACATGCTTTAGCTGTATATTCCACACTAGCATCATTTCCACAGGAAAAAACATTGCGAAATTGGAGCTATGCAGGGCTTTTATCCAATCTCTGAAAAGTACTTCGGAGTGCATGAGAGTGCAAACATAGCTCATGGGTGCAACACATAAAGGAACCGGGCCTTTTTCTCTTCATGCGATTGTGTGATTACCCTCAAATCTGGGGAAAAAATTCAACTGTTTTAAGTTGATGCAGACAGCACCTATGTCCTCCCTCCAAAGCATCTTTCAGAGATCGAATCTAAGGGCTGCACAGCTATATGAGAAATTAGGCCAGACAAAATACCGATATCAGACCGGGAATACTGGAGTTCCTATCTATGTTGTCAGCAGAACAAACAGAGATCTGTCCTTGTTCAGTGCTTAAAGGAAATTCATCCCAAGCACCTTCAGTGAAAGATGAAGTTCAAATGCAATGAAATAACTATAGCAGATTGGATTACAATTTTATTATACTGGATCCATCAGAAGCAGCTCTAATCATGGGTCTGCAAGGAATGATACACTAAAGCCAACAATTTAAATAGCAAAGAACAGGCAACTTGTTTGTTTATATTCATCATGAAAGACTCAGCAAGTGCCCAGTTAGTCCTTTCATGGCCTGATTCTATCTGGGCTTACTCAAAAATGATTCCCGCTAAACTCAATCAGGCTCCCATGTAGTGAGCTTTGGACTGCATCCTTCAGGCTAAAATAATTGCCCAATTTCTTTATAAGTTTCTACTCCATATCACAATAACTCATTCCGAAGGTTGCAGCGACCAAATGTTTAAACTTTCCCTTAAATCTCATTAATACAGCTGAAATTGCACATGGCTTTCTTCAGAATTAGATGCATCCCACCAGACAGCTGATTTATGCTGGTCACTGCTTATCTGTATGGTAAACTGGAATTGTAGCAGATTAGCACAGGCAAAGTTCTTTTGAACAATACAAGATATAGCAGTGTTTTTCAACCTTGGCAACTTTAAGATGAGGGAACTTCAACCCCCAGAATTCCCCAGCCAGCATGGCTAGCTGGGGAATTCTGGGAATTGAAGTCCATTCATCTGAAAGTTGCCAAGGTTGAGAAACACTGTATTATAGCATCAAGACAGCAGTTACAGTCCCAGCACGTTAAGGAGTTATCAGGGAACGCTGGACTATGGTATTATCCATTTGACATTTTCTTTTCTTTTTGGGGGGAGGGGGGAGAACTTCTTCAAAGGAAATGCCTGCAACTTAAAAAAAAAGCCGGCTTCAAAATCCAGAACCATTCCTTGCTGATGAACCTTCTTGATAGGTTGACATATATTTTCTACAGTTAATTACCATGTAAAAATGAAGAAGATGACACAATGCTATATAATATGGTAGCTTGGAGGTCCACCACATACCTGAAGCAACATGTATTAAAAGTAAACAGTTCCACACCCAGAAAGGATGTGAGAAACATTAGTTTGATACCTTACAAAGTGTTCATCTGTCTGCTCTGCAGTGAAGTTGTGGACTCAAATGGGTCAATGGTTTGACAACTCTTATAAGTTATCTTGCTATGTACGTACACAGTGGATGGGAACTACTGGTGTCTCATCCCTTTGGCCTCATTCTAAGAGGAAAATGGGAACCCATCCATAACTGCATCTGCTTTTCTAAAACAGATTCTTAATTTTTGCCAGCAGTTCCCGTATCAGGAATTCTCCAACTTAAGGACTGATTTAAAAGACAGGCTCAGCTAATAAGGAGGGATAGGTTGGTACAGGCCAGAAATGATTCCTTCCTTCTTTGAGCATTCAAATAATGTTCTGAAATCTCTCTTGTTTTATCAAGTGCTGCGCATGCCAGTCAAATGAAGCACTCTGAACTCTTAGCAGCCATGAAAAAAATCTCATTCCCTTCCTGAAGGGAAGGTTCTCTTAAACTGGGTTGCTCGTGTTGTCTGTACCCCAAAGAGAACTTTAGTCTGAAGTTCACCCTCCCATTTAGTTTCCAAACACAGAAAAAGATAGAGTAGTTAGAAAATGGAATGATGAGTAGTAATATGTATTACTCTTGTAGATCAGAATGCAAGTGTAGAGAGTAAGAAAGATGAACTTGATGGAGATATGCAGGATCTGTTGCCTAAGCAAAAGGGGATGAAGCATTTTTAAAGTCCACAACAATGAGATAACATTCAGAAGAGGCTCAGGCAGATGCTCCCGTTTCACTGAATTATAAGAAAGGGAGGCGATATCATACAATCAGATTTGCAAGATGCGTGGACTTCAACTTGAAGTCCACGCATATTAAAGTTGCCAAGGTTGAGAAACACTGCTATAGCCAATCTCAGTAAAAGTAATCAGCCATCCTGTGGAATTGATTTCCTGATCTGGTCTCCCAAGTGAGGCTGACAGCAAGTAAGAATACAAACCACAAGAACAGATGTAACATAATATAACAAAACCATAACCAAAACGTGAAACACTGTAATTTACTTTAATCCAATCCCGCTGAAGATACCACAATCCAGCAAATTCTTCTGGCTAAAAAGCAGAACTTTGCATATGTCATATTGGAGACTTTATTATCCCCACAAGAATTAATATGACATTCATCCTAGCAGCATGGCAGATATTTTTTTTATAAAGGGCTGAATAAATCTTGAATCAGGATCTGAACAGAACTTGCAATGCAAAATTTGATTCAGTCTTCCCAATTCTCAAAGGCATGAGGGATTGGATTGCTATTATATCTACCCCCTAAAACTACAGAGGGAAGGGAATTAAATCAGATCTAAAAAACCCCCAATGATGTTTAGAGTTATAAAATGAATTCATAATTTGCAGGAAAGTGTCTCTGAGAATCTTGATACAAATTTGCACTTAGAGGATTTAATTCAAATTACCCTTGGAGCACTCCAGTTAAGCTTTGGAAAAACACTGCCTCCGAGGGAATGGATTGCCTCTTCAACTTTAAGGGCAAATTCAGGAAATTCTGGTGCCTGGATGGTAAACAAAAGAGAAACGAAAGCTAACACAGATGGAACACCAGGAGAAAGAACTTTGGATTATAATTGTTGCGTGCAAGCCAATATTTACAACAACATCTCCAGAACAAGCTCAGCACAGATATGTTAAACAAATTGGGATCTCGAGAAATATCCCCATAATACTTTATTTGCAATTTTGGATTTGAAAATTCTGAATTTCTGAAGTCCTGGCCAGCAGAAGTAACATGAAATTGCTCTGACTGCTAGACAGTTGTTTTGGACATTGGATGCTACACAAACAGTGTAAACGAATGAATTTCTCACAATATTCTCAACACAGTACTATTCAATTTGATCAGTATGTCTGACGTTTATTTTAAATTTTGTTTTAAATATATTTGTCTGCTCTAGGAACAAGTTGGAGATCAACTTTAATTTCTAACTTAGGAAAAAGGTCACTGTCAGATAAAACCCAAGGAAAATTAACTATTGGCATACGTTTTTCTACAACTCAGACTTCTTCAGTTATTTAGATCTCTTGCAATGAAAAATTAAATTACAAGGGGCCTTACTGTAAGTGTTGCAGTATTTTCATCATCAGACCACTGGAAAAAAAAAAAAGACCAGAAACAAGTTTTTTTTATTGGGATATGAATATTGACACAGTTCCTTAATTATGGTTAACTGGCTTAATCATAATTGATTAGGTTCAAATCATCTAAGCCACAAATAATGGTTTACAAATCACAAGGCTTGAGTTCATGCTGATCAGTCTCTCCTCCTTTCTTGTGGATGCCCTGGGTCCCCTTCAGCTTCACTGACAAAGCTTGAAAGAGATGGCCAAATGCCAGAATTGGCATATGTCAAAAATGTGAGCAATGGAAAAGACAAGCTGAAGTCATCCTACTGTCACAGGTGAAGGGTGTTGTCACTTTTCAACCAAGAAAGTCCTCCTGTGATAGAAAGCAGGATTCTGCATACTCTGCACAACAGCTCAGTCAAATTGTCTTGGAGTCAAGCTTGACTTCTGGTGACCAAAAGGGACTCATCCATGTAGTCTCCTGGCACAATATAAGAGTGATTCACCACAGTGTTTGTCTGGTACTTGTTATACTTCCTAGCCTAGACTATGGCCTTGAGATGTATTGGTGATCTCCTCTCTAAGTGCTACCTGGGCCATTGTTGCTTAGCTTTCTGGATCAGCCAAGATTGATCAGGTGCTGCCACTCAGGAAAGGGCAAAATGGGTGTCCACTAGAAAAAAGAGTCTATCTTCTTTCTTTTTTTTAATTCAGCTTTAACTTTAATAGGGAAAAGGTATGGAATTCTAGAATGGGGGTTGATATGTCTGACAATCCAAAAGCCAGAGAATAGTTATCACAGTTTGTACAAACCACAGTTTCTTCTGTCTCATCATCATCTCCATCGTCTTCTTGGGATATTGTTTGGGGATCTTCTCTAAATAAGAAACCAGAAACCAGAAAGTGACATCTTTCGATAATCAAATCTAAAGGTTTTGATTTTTATTATGTTAGGCTTTATAACATTTAATTCCTGAAAAATGTTTAAAACAACTCACGGAGACAAAAGTGATCTATCTTAGCCAATAAATATTACCGTATTTTTCCATCAATAAGACGCCCCCATGTACAAGACAACCCCCACTTTTCCAAC